AGGTGTAGGGGGTGGGGTGGAAGGTAATAGTGTGGGTGTGGGTGTGGGTGGGGTAGAGAATAGGGCGGGAAGGTTGAAAAAGAGTTTTGGAAAATGTTTTCCCTCCTCTTGGTAGGGATGGAGGAAAATGAGTTCATGAGTAAGATATTTTTCAAAATATTTAAGCCAACCAAACATGAAAAAATTAAAAGAATTTCCTTCATGCCAAACACACCCTAGTAGAGACTTTTCATTACAAATCAACTTTCTTCCTAGCAACAGCATTGATCATTTATATGCACTTCATATTCATATTCATTACAGTGATATACGTGATGGCAATATCTCATCCACAGGTCACCCCGACTAATAACATTCTAAACAGTACAGTTGGAAAAAGTTTCATCCCAAAATAAAAAAATGAAGTTCCAGATAATATTGAAAAGCAAAAAGTGAAATTTTCTTTTATTCGCGGAAGGCACCTTTACAACACCATTCTGAGAAAGAAATTTTGCACACGTTTAGCATTAGACTAAAGACCAGCAAATTGACAGTATTACAATAAAGAGGAGATTTAAAAAGAAGGTTTTCACCTGACACAATTACACCTTTAAACAATGTTTATGGCTTACTAACGTTTAAACTTCCTGCTTTAGACATGGGTTTCAACACTGATGCCATACTTTAAAGTTTAAACACCTGCTTTATGGTGCTGACTCTTCATTAGTGAGCAGTCCCAAGAAGAGATAGAAGAAAGGCCCGATATACACCAGAAGTCTCCGAATGAACTGCATCATTCAGAGATTTCTTATGCTTTTTGTGGTACTCTGCTTTTATATACTGCATATCGATCTCAGTTCGCGTGACTATTATCCTAATGAGAGTTGTATCGTCCGTACCCATACCCTTCATTGCCTTGTGCAACTCCTGCATCGATTAAACATACGTAAGGTAAGGTGCAGATAAACAGCGCTTATAGAATACTTTTCATGTAAGAGATCAGCAGAGAAAAGAACGACTTACTCAATTAAAGATAAAAATGATCGAACAGGTCATTATAGCAACGTGAATGCTACTAAAGATTATTCTAAAACCCAAAACGGAAAATACTGTAATACAAACATAAACATCTTTAGAAGTTTCACTTCCACGTCCAGCTGCGATATAGAGCCAAAAAGAATAAGAAGTATCCAAAGTAGAAAGAGCAGTATGAAACATGCTATATGAAGGAAGAACATATATCATGGTAGAGAGGGGCAATGCATCTCGACGACAAACAAGTTGAAATAAGAGTGTTTTCTTGAAGGAAAAGAAGATTTGGAGGATAGTAATCTTCGGCAAAGTAAACGACATCCATAATCACAAAACACAAACCCCAACCCCATGTGCCAAATCTTTTTTTATAGAAACGGATGAAAAAGGGGATAATGGCATTTGAGGAAAAAAGAAAAAAGAGCTTACGAGAAGCATGAGTTCAAAAATATTCCGTGTTGTAGGCAGAATGGTTATCACATTTATGATTTGATACATATAATTTGTACCTTCGCAAAGTACTTTGCTGGATTCTCAGCACACTGCAAAATAGTCAAGAGGGCAAACTCAAAGGGTCCAGAGGTCTCACTTTTTACAGCCTGTAACAGTTGCTGTCCATTAGTCAACTGAAATTGAAAATCTAAAAATGGTTTGCTAAATGAAGTCAGCTTACCTTTTTCAATGAGTTACCATACATGCTATGATAAGCAGCACTAACAGCAGCCAAATGCGCCCTGCTTCTTTCAGAAAAAATTCGTATAAAAGCCTTCTCATCGGTTCCCAATTTCTTCTCCCCAGCTTTGAAAAGAGCTTTAGCATCATGTTCCACCGAAGCTCTGTCAACTTCTGGCCCTTCATAGCGCATTGTCCTTGCATATGCTAGAAGCAACTGTAGTGATTAAGAAAAAATAATAAATCTTTATCAATATGTATATGACTACTTGATTAAATTTAAAAGACAATACAAGGAAAGACTCCCATTTGCATCAAGAAAGTAAGACTCCACAACAAATACCAATGAATTGGAAACAGATACCGTACTAGAAACACGTCAGGATCCGACAAGTGCACCTCACTTTCCAATCAACAGAGACATAAGTGCCCCAGCTAAAAGGGTAACTGCTATAAATACACAAGTTACTTGAGAGTTCTCAGTTTCCCCTCATCTTTCCCAAAGTTGCAGAAATTGAAAGTAACAGACTACTTGATCGATGTATGTCCAGTTTACGTAGTAATCCCAGATTCTTCTGTTCTACTCTCCAAACCAACATCAAATTTGCTATGAGGACTGCATCAATTATCTTCTCCCTCGTACTAAGGCATTTTTATGTCAAAATATCAGCTTTCTGATTACTCTTGATTCGTTCCGCTAACAATGTAGCAACAATCTTATATAAACTGCCAATTATACTGATTGGCCAGTAATCTTTTTTGGTATAAGTGCAATGAGAGTAACATTGTAACTTCTCATCATCTATCCATTCAAATGAAAAGCATTCAGAGCCCTCCTCAGATCTCCTAAACTACTTTTACTTATTTATTTAAAAGTTGTTCCTAGGATTTTCTTCTTTCACGTACTTGTGATAATCATTTAAGAAAGAAAGGTTTCACGTGCGTACAAACGCAGAGGATTACTACCTTTTTGTGATCATCATAAGTCTGAACCTCAATATCCTGTTCAAGGTAGACACCAAACATGGAATGGTAAAGTTGTTTAAAATATTGTATTTGAGAAGGAGTCCGTGAACATATCACTTCAGTGGCAGCTCTGGGATCAATAACATCACCACTCAAAGCCTTCCTAACTAGGGTAGCATCCCTTCCTGCCAGATCACACATCCATAGCAACAATGCTTTCTGGAATCATTCAAAAAGATAAAAGAAGATCATGAAACAGAAAACTTGAAATAGAACATAAAAAACACGGAATCACATTATTGGCCAATTGCAGTTTCTCTTTGAATGTATAAGCTTTCGGCCTCTGAAGTCCATGTTTACTAATAGTAGTGGCAAGTTATTGAGTTATCAAAGTTATTCCAAAATTGCTACCATCCATCAATACCTCAAGGTTACCGCTAAGCTCTTTGGCCAAGCGCTTGTTTAGCTCTTCAGAGTACATAGTTCTGTATTCCTGTTGAATAAGAGCACGTTGAGTTGCATCACGGTGGGCAAGGATGTTAATGACTGCTGCTTTATCACATCCAAGTCCTACATTACACAGGCAAGTAATTAACTCAAAGGCCAGCTGCAGAATATAAACACACCATCATTTAACGAATGGTACCGCTTATGAAGTCAATTTCTGATTTTTCAAGTATTATATATATGCACTCATAAGAAATTATGTTAGAGATTACTTGATATTGCATTTAATTTCTACTTTGGATTACATACATTCTAATTCCGGAAACTAAACCCAAACGGGATGATGACATTTATCTGTTAATCTGATAGCAATTATAGGCGAAAGTAGTATATTGCCCTCTAAGTCATAGTTTACTAGGAATTCAAGAAGCAAAATGTAACATCTATCTTGTCCTGTCTGATATTTTGACTGGTTCAAAGTAATCCGTGTGATACAGAAACTACAACGCCTGCACTAAAAGAGAAATAAAATGTGAAGATTAATCCATTCTCTCAAGATAAGCTACCCTTAGTGCCATGAGAGACAACACCGTTTCACTTGCTACATTTCCTTGATTCTTCAGCACCAAAAAAAGGTTTTTAACTAGAAAACATATCCAATTGGAGTGGGGATAATACCCACTTAGTCTCCTAAGGTTTACAGTATGAGTATTTCATTATTTGCAAATACTGAAGTATGTTCAGTATTTGCAAATAAAGGTGTGGCCATCAGTATTTGCAAATGCTGAAGTACTTCGGTATTTGAAATAAAGGGCAGTGCACCCGCTATGCGTAGGGTCCGAGGAAGGGTTGGACCACAATGGTCTATTGTACGTAGCCTTATCCTGCATTTCTACAAAAAACTATTTTCACGGCTTGAATTCGTGACCTCCTGGTCACATGACAACAACTTAACCAGTTACGCCAAGGCTCCCCTACACCAGTATTCAAAATACTAGTGAAATATTGAAAAACTTATTTGAAAGAGTATTACAAGTGAAATAATGTGTTTCACTCACAAATCTTCAAATTGTTTTGCAAGATCTATTTTTAATTCAAGAAAACAACTACAACTCAGTCTCAAATAAGTTAGGATCGGCTACATGAATCGTTACCGACCAAGTTACTATATGTATTGTTACAGACCAAGTTACTCCATTTAAATTCATCTCATGTTAAATTCGATGTTATATATTTTTAAAGACACGATATAAGCTTAAGTACATACTAGAACTACACGTGTTGTACTAGATCGACCCTGGAGCATAACTATCAGTGCTTCAGTAAGATAACACCATGGTAAATATCTGTTTTAAGCTTTCTTTACAGCTGAATTACAGCTTGAAGTAGTATGTGTCACCAAAATAACTGTCTTTTTCTCTTTTTTTGGGGGATAAAGAACTGTCATTCTCTTCATAAACTTTTTAGTTTTTATCTTTCTTTAGAATGTTATAAGAGTATTTCCTTTGTTCGAAAGACAAACCTTTTCGGAGTACGAGAGTCAAATTAACTAAATTTTTTGTGTGAATTAAATATAGAATTTTTAAATTTTTTGAAATAAATTTACATACATAAAGAGTATTAGTCGCAATAGTAACAATTTAAAATATTTAAAAATTATTTATAAAGAATATGGTCAAAGAAATCATTGGTTGACTGAAATATAATAGGTTCACAAGCTGGGCCTAATGATGATGTTCCTTTTTTGTCATGCTTGAAGCTTAATTCACTGAAGTATCAACTCATCATCTAAAACAAAAAAACAAAAAAAAGGAAAGCAACAAATTAAGCAAATGAATTACAGTACAGAAGAGAAGACAAACATAATTTGTGAAAATTAATCAGAGGAATTTTAATTGTACCTTTGAAAGCTTTATATAGTTGCATGGCATCATCACGAGGTGAAATTAGAACTGAAGGAACAGTTAGGCTTGCCATTTCTCTCTTTGTGCTTTCTTTTCTCCTTCTTTACGTTCTCTCTTTTTGCTTTCTTATGCAGGTGTTGGTCAATACAGTTTGAAGTCGTGTATAAAAGGGTTTACTTCATTAGCTAAATAAGAAAAATCAAACCGTGTGGGGAAGTACACTACATTGTCGACAGGTCAACTACTACAACCACCTCTCATTTTCGTGTTTATCTCTATCCTTATAAAAGGCGAAGCTCCAATAATGGTGAAAGGGCCAAAGTTGGTCCTTTCCTAAAGGGCGGACCCACATAGGCCAAGCCGGTTCAAATGAATCCGGTTCGTTGAATACGGAAGTTAAATTCTGTAAAATGGATATATAAAAATTATTTGAACCACTTCCTACAATTTCATCGCGTGGAATAAGTGGTCTAGTTGGGTTCAAAATAAACTGAAACGTCCCGAGGTCGAAACCTGACGACAGCCTTTTTTTTTTTTTTAGTTTTGCTCCTGTGTGCTTTTTAAGCGCACGTGCATTTCCCTTTAATGCCAAAGGGCATAATAAATAGCTAGCATTGTTAGGTAATTCTTTTTTAAATGAATAGCCAGCTAGTTTATTCCCTGAGTGTGTTTTTATTTTTTTTTTATATCTATTTTATTATACATTTGATCTCCTAATGAAATCCAATAAGAATTAATCTACAGTCTATTTAACTCCAGTAGATGAAATCTTACAGTGTTTTTGCTAAAATATGCAAGTGCATATCTTGAAATTATTTATAATGTGTTAGTTCATATTAAACTAGGTTATCCTAAATTGTTTATTTTTGTTACAATTAAATTGTTAGTTCACTTTATAAGCTATCTTTTCTTATAGTTTGTACTAGTTTATTTTAAGTTATAATTCTTTATTTTTTGTTGTCCTATTATTTTTGTAAATTAATAACTTTGTTATTTTCTAATTTATTAGAGTTTAATAAAACTAATTGAGTAAATAGAATATTTTTATAACTTTGTTAAATGTTTTAAGTTTCCTGCCCTATTTTTTTGAAAGAAGAACAGAATTAGGACCTCTCTTTTTTTTTTTTTAATTTAATTATTTATTTTAAGATACCCTAATGAACCCCAAAAAAGTGCCTGACAAATCTCGCTTATAACCACTATCGTTGGTTAACATCTTTTTTATTGAACCCGCTTGCGTAAAATTCTGAGTCCGCCACTGCTTTCCTATATGGAGGAGGAAAGGGACAAACGTGAGCTACTTTGCTAATGACGAGAGCAACTTTGGTTGGGCGCAATTACGACTCAATTCTTCTAAGTTCGAATTAGCGTCCGAAAATGATGATAAAGTTATTCTATTTGGAATAGTTTAGACTCAAAAATTAGTTATTTTGATGTTTTATTCATATAAATTTATTTCCACTCGGTTCCGTACTTTTTTTTTTATTTTATTAAATTAAAAATATTCCTTAATTACTCAATACGGTTGTAAATTTTTATTGAAACTTATGTATTTACTACAAAATTTAATTATTGGTTCTGTAACGTTCACTTCAATCAGCTCCATCGATTTTCAAAGAATTATTAATATTCTAATAGTACTAGGATTTGTTTTTTCAAAAGGGTATAAACGTTTAGGAGGAACATATTTTGATGGACCCGATTGTACATCAGGTTTAATTAATACAATTATAATATTGGATAATATCAGCATAACAATAAAAATGTAAAAGAGTTAATTTTACGAGAAGATTATTTAGGAAAAAGGAATTTTTTTTACTATCTGTCACATACAACTATATGAGCTTTTTCTTTTCTGAAAAAGTAACTTTTGTGGGTCTTATTCCATCCAAAAAATCCATTTCTCTCTTTACTCTCTTTTCTTCTTTCATTATCTCTGTTTACCCTCTTGTCCCTTGTTTCTACATCCCAAATTCCTTTTTTTTTTTGTTTAAAGATAAGAGTTAATATTATATTAAAGATTAAGGGGTAGTTTGGTAGTGTGTATAAGAATAGTGCAGAATACAGTGTATTAGTAATGCAGGGATTAGTAATGCATGGGTTAGTAATGCAAGCATTAGTTATGCAGATATTATTTCTTATAAACTGTTTGGTGTGGTGTATTAAAAATTATAATGCATTGCATAATTTTTAAGAAAAATAGTTGTTTACAAAAATGCCCTCCATATTCTCTAGCTTTAAGGAACTTTAAGGACCATTTTGTCTTTAACCATACTAATGCATTGCATTAATAGCCTTGGTATTACTAATGTCATGGTTTTCTATGCATTACTTATACATAGGCTAATACCAAGTATGATGTATAACTAATGCAAGTATTAGTTATACATAAGTTGAAAAAATATACCAAACAAGGTATTAGTAATGCATAAAGCTAATGCTTGCATTATTTTTTCTAATACCTCCTACCAAACGACCCCTAAGAGTAAAGTACAACACTACTAAAAGCAACGTCATAGGTGATACAAAGGTGTTCAAAGCATAGTAAGCTATTATATACTCCCTCCGTTTCAGTTTATGTGAACCTATTTTCTTTTTGGTCCGTTCCAAAAAGAATGACCCCTTTCTAAATTTGGAAGCAATTTAACTTAAACTTCCAATTCTACCCTTAATGAGAAATTTTTATAACCACACAAATACTCTAGACCCTTTTTTGACTTGTTTAGGATCACAAATTTCAAAAGTTTTCATTTTTTCTTAAATTTCGTACCCAGTCAAACAGGTTCACATAAAATAAAACGGATAGAGTATATTGTGTGGGACTAGCTTATTATGAGAAGCTCCTAGACTATCATTTAAAATTGTAGTATGCACTGCCGATGGTGGAGCTTAAACAAGTTGTCCTGTCCTGCCTTGGAACCTTCTTTAGCCAAAAAGTGTGCCACCTTAGCTTGTTACCCTCCCTGAAGTTATGCCGTAGAAGGTTCCTCAATTCCTCCATTAGCAACGACCTGCAATCATTTATAGTAGATGTATATATTAGTGAATCATTTTGTATTAGGGATATATTATCTCGGTTGAATCTGTACGTTTCAATTTCCAAAGGCTGAAGGCCTTGCTCTCTTGTTATGTTCAGTACTATTGCCTTTCTTAAGGCTAATAGCTCTGCATGCATGAATATAAGTTAGTGCATGAATATGTTCATAAAAACCCAAAACCTATTCACCTTTACAGTTTTGTAGAACTTCTCTTGTTCCGCCTTTCTGTCTGTCAAGATTAAAAGCACCTTCAACGTTAAACGAAGGGGATGCCATTTAACATTAATGGGTTTCATTTAATTTATTATTGACAATGTATACGGTCAAAACCGAGTTTTCCCTTCGTATGAATAATCGAGATTGGAACATGATAGACCAAGGTTCAACTTCGTGTAATATCGAGCCATGATGCGATGTTAGCTCGAGACCCAGAGACCGATCAAGATCGAGATCGGCCAAGATCGAGGTCGAGCAAAATAGAGACCAGTCAAGATCGAGATCGGCCAAGATCGAGGTCGAGCAAAATAGAGACCGGTCAAGATCGAGATCGGCCAAGATCGAGGTCGAGCAAAATAGAGACCGGTCAAGATCGAGATCGGCCAAAATCGAGATCGAGCAAAATAGAAACCGATCGAGGCCTAGATCGACCTAGATCGAGGAAAGCTTATCGAGCCAAAAAATAAAAAGCCGGAATATCCGCAATTGGGCAAGAATCTCGGCGGAAATCACGACACATATCAATGAGAGGCCAATTAATTAATCTATCATGAGATTCCTTGATGTATTTAAAAAGTATATTAAGAATATGACTCCTCTACTATATAAAGGGGGATTTGATCATTTGTAAGGGGCATTGAGATTCAGATTCATAAAATATAAAGCAATATACTGCCTTTTCTTCTGGTTTTGATATTTAGTTACTTTGTTCTTGTATCAGTTACTCTCCATTCAGTTTGAGGGTGATCGAACTTGAGGGCCTAGGCTAATTAATTCATTCGTTACTCTCCATTCAGTTTGAGAGAGATCGAACTTGAGGGCCTAGGCTAATTAATTCATTCGTTACTCTCCATTCAGTTTGAGAGAGATCGAACTTGAGGGCCTAGGCTAATTAATTCATTCATTACTCTCCATTCAGTTTGAGGGTCATCGAACTTGAGGGCCTAGGCTAATTAATTCATTCGGTTTGCATTTATTTCTTTTACAGTTAATTTCGATATTCATTTATATATTTTCTCAATTTGTACCAAGTTATACTACGTATCCTTAGAACCGCGTATAAATTCAATTGTTATCTATTTTTCGGGTAAACAGTTTGGCGCCCACCGTGGGGCTAAAGATAATAGTGGTTGTCTGATACAAATCTCTGTAAAAACACACTATTTTACACCTGCTCTTGGAAGTATCTTTGATTTCAAGCTAAAAATGCCGAACTCTCAATTAATGCCCCTACATATCGACAACGAATCTGGCCATCAAGGTAAGAATAACAACGGGACGCCCTGGGATGAAAAGCCACCCGCTGACCCCGTTGAAACTCGGGCCGTGGATCCGATTGATGTTAAATCGCATGTGGCCATCGAAGCGAACCAACATTCCGATCCCAAAAACAACATCCATGGTGGAACCCGATCTGCAGTTCGAGATACCCAAAATATTTGAGAAGACGGGATCAGCCTGCATATTATCTTCGAAATGCTGCAAGCCCAACAGGTGGCGATAGCTCAGTTGCAGAGCCAAACCCAGGCACCGAGCAGGGCTGAGCCCGATCCACCTCAAGAAGTCACCCACAGAACGGGGCCAGCTGTGGTAAGGTCAAATGAACAAGAATTGGGGAATAACCCCGAAATTATAAAGATGCTCGAGAAACTGACAAAGCGAATAGAATCAAGGGAAAATAGGATCGAAGCAAATGACAAGAAAGTAGAAACTTATAACTCCAGGGTTGATCAGATTACGAGGGAACCACCAATATTGAAGGGTTTGGATTCCAAAAAGTTCATACAAAAGCCTTTTTCCCCGAGCGCAGCTCTCAAACCGATCCCCAAGAACTTCTGCATGCCCGAGATTCCTAAGTATAATGGAACGACTGACCCCAACGAGCATGTGACCTGTTACACGTGTGCCATCAAAGGGAATGATCTAGAGGACGACGAGATCGAATCCGTATTACTAAAGAAATTCGGGGAAACTCTGTCAAAGGGAGCAATGATATGG